CGACTCCATCCGACTCCATCCGACTCCATCCGACTCCATCCGACTCCATCCGACTCCATCCGACTCGACCCGTTTCGACCTGACTCGAACCGAATCGAACCGACTCGGACCGAATCGGACCGACTCGGACCGACTCGACACGACTCGTCCCCTCTCGAACCGTCCTGTCCTGACGAGTCATCCAACATTCAGCATGTGTTCGACGTGCAACACAAAATTAATCTAAGAAAACAAAAACGTTCGATGTCGAGGAAGTTTGAAGAGCAAGCAAACAGATTTTAAGTTCCAGATATCCATCATTTTTTCTTAACATTAATAGTTGCAGAACACTCTATAATCGTCACAGAGTTCACGAACTTTTTCGCATAGAAATTTAAGATACTGATAACCAGCAAAATGCGACATTGATCCTTTTTATTTGCACCGATTCAAATGTTTGTGCATGAAATATGACGTCACATAAAAAATTCGATCAGACTACTATTAAAGTATTGTTATAAAAAATAATCTCAACAATGATCGAAACAATAAAGTTAGATGACAGTTCCCTTGATGTTATTTGAATTCTTTCATTGTACAAGTTAGAATATATTGATTCATTTGTTTTTAAAAAAGAATAGAACGTACTGAATCTACCTTATTACATCATTTACATAATTTTATTTCTCATCACAAAATCTACCGTTAAATCACTGATCTCACTTAATCCTTTTTCATAATGAAAAGTACAGTAATAATGTTACACTGATTACTATGATTTGATTAAAAGTGATTTAAAGTTAAGAGGTTTTAAACGTTTAGGGTATTTTTATATCGTATGTATTATGATTTTTTTTATAACTAGGGAAAATTTTACCAATAACCACCGCTGCACTAAGCATTATATTGTTTATTCAAAACACCTTAAGTGTGTTAATATTGTACACGTTACTGTAATCGAAAGGTTTGAACACACCAAGCGTCCTTTCAATGGGTGAAGTCGGCAAGCATAAAAAACGTACGTGTCAATGACATTGTACTTGTCAATGACAATTTACATGTCAAGAACAGGAGATAAAATTGTTTTCGTGAACTGTATGTCGATATTATCCAGGAGATCCACTAGATAGTATACCTAGGGCCTATACAGGATAACGTTCTACGAAACACTAGGAAGAATATTTGCGAGTTATTTATTTCTCAATATTCTCTTACTAATAATCAATCTCAATCAAACGGATACTTTCATAAAAATTGCCAAACATTATGTTCGTGGAAAGTCCTTAGCTTCGACAACACGGGCTTCGAGGAGGACATTACTTTTATGAACAGGAAGCGTCACGAAAAATGTCTAACAAGATAGTCCAAAAAGATATGCAAATAAGGTAAAAGACAATCTATTTCATTAAAATAAAGGCCTTTAATTAGCAAAATACAGGTTAAATTTGATGGAATGCTAAATAAATGATAAAGCACAATGTTGTCAATTATACAGGCAAAAGGAATACAGGTAAAAGGAGTGATTTTTATTAATATTCAGACTTCACAGAGAAACCATATCGCGTTAGTAAAAAGGACTAAATTTCCAACATTACTACTTCATACTGGATGGGACGTCGGTCCACATAAGTAATATAAGTGTAAAGAACAAAGAATCCGGCACCAATTAATCTTTAAGTTCAGAATTGCAAAAAGGTTTCAGATTGGTTTGCACAAAGTCGGGCACATTATGATAATAATTTTCAAAGATTTTACAGTCGTTTCAACTCAGCTACACCCAGCCTGGTTAAGATTCTATCAGAAGTTATATTAAATATTAAAATTTTAAAACCTCTTAAATACATACTTAACATTATAATGAAACATTAGAAGCATAAAAAGGAATGCATACAAATATACAGTAATGTATTCACAGAAATGAGTGTCTAATATATTTTAACAGAATTCTACAAGTTTTAGGGCCTACGAAAATCATAATCCGTCCGTGATGCCCACACATTCATACTCTACTTTTCACACACTAACCCTGAACAAACCTTTGATGCATCACCTGACACTAGAAATGTTTATTGAAGCAAACGCACATCCTTCACGAACACGTGACTGTTTCCTTCGTTTCCTCCTCCGCCGGCAGCGACGTTTCTGAGCAGCGCACGCTCTTCGGGAGCAGGACAAAGGGCCAAAGGGCAGTCAGAAGGCGACACTCGCGGCGCGCAAGACGCTCTCACAAAAGGGCCGTGGCGCAGCGGCCGCCCTTTGGCGAAGGGCCTAGGGTCCGGTCGGTCACGGCGACCGGGGGCGTAATTAAATGAAGTGATTCGCCGGGCAGGAGCGTGTAGCCTTTTCGCCAAAGGGCAGCTCGATCTCTTGTATCGAGTTGGAACTGCGCCGTCGCTCTCGGTTGCAGACAGACGGAAGACGAAACTGGGCAGTGCGTGAGTCTCGTACGACACGTTTTACTTTCTTAGAATTTAAAATCACTATTACAGAGGGTCCTGTTCAAAAAATTCCAGGCTTTCAAGATTTCGGTACAAATACCCGTTCTGGGAGTTAGCAGGAAACAGTTTTTTTTCTTAAAACTTCAGAGTCTGTCCGTCCGTTAATCTGTCAACAAAACTAGCCCTTAAAACGAGTACAGCTGTTTTTATCAAAATTAATATTTCTAGATCTATGTAGCTTATGTCTCTGCCCATTGAATTTGAAATATAGTTCAAAATTTTGGGGAAGACTGCCACGAAACCTTAAAGTTATTTTAATTTTGTTTTCAAAAATGATTGAATTTTTTCCCTGTCGGGATTGAGCAAATTACCTTAGATTCTGTATTTATTCAAACTCCACATTTTTGAAAATTGTAAAAGTTTTGAATATTTTGGACGATTTGAAGATAGTTATACTATCTTATTACAATATTATATGTTGAAAGCATGACACATTTGATTCAAAATATTAATTCACGCTGTGTATTTATATGTGGAATAGTGGAAATTCAAAAATACGTTAAAACGATTCTTTTTTTAACCTTTCTCCGAAATACCAGGCTAAATAATACAACTTCCATCTAATTTTCATTAAAACCTCTAATGAAATATTTCTCACCCTCTCTTACATAAAAAATTTCGTAAGTTAGATATTTTGCAATGTAATGTTCCTCAATATTAGGTTCATGTGCGCGGGTACGCCAAATGTTAGGTTAATTAGCCCCATGGGTGTATTGAATGTTTTATCGACGAATGTGGCGGTACTTCTTCCCTCTGAGGTTGGTGTTATCCACAAGCACCCTCCACGTCAGCTAGCGAAACAGTACCCTCTCGAGGTATCTATTTCTAACGTGACATCGCCCCATTCGCGGCAAGGTAAAAGTTTCCGATTGGTTTCTTGAAATATTTGGCAGTGAAGTAGATGTAAGTGTGTGCTGTGTCTAAGGGGGAATGATAGGATGAACAAGAGAAAGAAAAGATTTCGCCCGGTCCACAGCAGATTTGATAGGCATTTTCCTGGTATTGATTGATAAACAAACGGAAAACTTCCGAGGAAGCCAGTCACTAGAATTATCCCACAGTCAGCGGCTGAATTCTACCCAGCCATATATTCGAATATCCGCCAACATCGGGAGTCGAACCGCGGTTACTCGGTGACAGTCGTGCCATTTTCGGACTAAGACGCAGCGCGGAGGCTCGTGGTGTACGATCGCGCCCTGCGCAGCCGAGACCTCTCAACGCCCCAGCACGACGCGAGAGCGGGGGTGGAGGCGAGGTGGAGTGTCGGAGCCACTTCCGTATTCCATAGAAGG